CCAGACCAATCACAATGTTTTGCGCAAATGTGCAAACGTTAAAACAATTATGTGTTGTGACGTCATCAAAAGGCGCAGGCCCCCCGAGTCAATCTGGTACCTACACCGGCCGCAACAACGCTTTTATTGGTTCCGCTATCGGGACGGAACCAATAATGGCGAGCCGTTATTTTTTTTTAAATAAAAAAAGGTCAATTTTAATGTTTTATTTAAATTACAAAAATAAATCATAATAAAAATAATCCTATTTATGATGTTTTAAAAATCAAGACCAACGAAAGACTGATTTAAGACATTTTAATACCAATTAAGGCCTTAGTTTTATTTTAAAGAATTCAATGCCTTTTAAGACTTTTTAAGGACCCGCGGGAACCCTGGTATCACAAACACTCCAGCCATCAGATAACTCCTTAACTTTCCTTTATTGTCACATAGAAAAGTTTTCACGATGAAACCAAATCGGAACAAAGAAGATTCGGTTCTTTTCATCTCCTTTCCTCAGACTCATCGGCTTGTGGCAGCTCCTGTTGCCGCCGTGGTGCCAGTGATCGGCATTTTCTTCAACGTCCTGTTTAACTGATGAAGAAAGAGGATTCCATTTACCTTTTGTCTGTTTGCATAGATTGATATTAGATCAAATCCAGCCTTTTTAAAATGTTTCTACTTACTTCCTCAAACTTGTGGATCTGTCTGATGAAAAAGTCTCCGTACCGACGAGCAACTTTGGTGTCGGCGATGTGGATCATGTCCTGTGGGAGGAGTTAAACAAAAGTCACCAAACTTCAACTTGTAATGCAGAAAAAAGAGGAATAAATATCAAGCTTTCACCACAAAGATGTATTTTAGTGTTAAAGCCGATTTCAGAGTCAAGCTCACCTGCAGCTGGGATTTTTTTCACCATCTTTCAGCTTCATTAATATTTACAGAGGGGGGAAATCTTTTGCCGTCCTTACAGATTTCTTTGTTTTTGCATTTTTAAGAATAATCTGAGAACTTCCAGAAAGCAGGGAAGCATCTAGAACCAGCAGGGCTGAACTGGGCAAAAATTAGGGGAAAAAAAATCTAAAGGAGCCCAGCTCTCTGGTAAAAGCTTAGCGTCCTTTCCAGGTAAACAATGAGCTGTTTAAATTATTTGTGAAAGTTTGAGGAGAACAAACTTCGGGGCAGGAGATATGGAAGAAATGTATACGGTTTTGCTAAAGCTATAATCTAAAATATAATAATTTCGATTTTATCACAATTTTCTGTGTATTTCTGAGACTAATTTCCAAGTTTGTGGTCAGTTTAAACCAGAAATGACCAAAGTCGGTCCTTGAGGGCCGCTATCCTGCTGGGGTTTTTTTTATGTTTAATTTAACTCTGCATTTAACCCATCCCCTTGGGAAGCAGTGGGCTGCCATTGTGCAGCACCTGGGGTTAAAGGTCATGGAGCCAGAGTGGCAGTCAGTGGGAGTGGGGCTCAAACTCAGAACCTCTGGATTCCAAGCTCTACGCCCTCACCACTAGGCCGCCAATCGCTAACAGAAACACGCTAATATTAACAACAGATGTTTATTTACATCCTGTTTCTGTTTTTAACGTAAGCGCTGGGTTGGAGCTGATTGATTATGTGCCGTTTGTCTTAGTTTTTGACAGTGATACAGCAAAGGATTGTGGGTGTTAAAAGCAAAGAAGCAACAAGTTTAGATAAAGGTAGGAATATTTAAATGATTTATCAGTAATTTGCCCTAACAGCAGTATTTTCTGATATTAACATCAGCACAAGTTTTCAATTTTTACTTAAATGTTCTGGGGTTCATAATGGACTCAGCAAGGAGCTGCTTTCCAACCCTAGATAGCATTTTTACTGTAGACCCAACAAAAGGTGAAGAAACAAACATCAGGAGATACAATCTGCAGATACTTGGATTGAGGGAAAAACTCCAGCGAACCAAAGTCAGAAAAATGATCCAAAGCAAAGAGAAAAATCCCAGCTCTGAACAGCTCAACATAATACACTTCTGGAGTGGCCTAGTCAAAGTCTGCATTCACAAACACTAAAATGTTGCAGCATTAAAACGGTTCTGCAGGAAATGAGTGGCTCAAAGTTACTCGGTGATTTTAAACATCACAGTAATAAAAAACTGGATGTCCGCTGCTGCTGCTGTTCGACCATCATTTCCAAAAAAGTTAAAAACAATCCACTGGACTGTTTCCAAGTTTGAAGATGTTTCTCTTCCCATCCAGGAAGCTTTTTCAATTCAAAATGTCAGAAATAGCATTTAGTTCCAGGTTTTATAGAGTGGACCAAAACAAATCCTTGTTTTGGCTTAGAAACATGTAGGTTGAAACAGACGAACGGATTCACCTCTTTGGAAAAGGGTTAGTTTGGCTTCTTCTGTCAGCCTGCAATGCCCCATACCTGTCTATGTCTCTGAAAGGGGAGTTTTTAAAGGGAATTGTTGGCCTGGCTGAATAGGCGAGGTCTTTTGTTCCCCTGTAAAGGAAGTTTACAGTATTTTCACGACTATAAGGCGCATATAAAAGTCTTTTTTTTCCCTCAAAATGTGCGGCGCGCCCTTTGGTGCGGTGCACCCTATGTGTGTTGTTACTGCGGACGTTTGAGACCACCATGAGAACGTTGAACGGGGAAGTGTGGGCGTGGATTGTGGATAAAAGAACAGGTATGTGCTTTATGCAGATGATGAAAGAGTGGCTGAGGGAGGTGTATGTAAGGAGACCAAGTGGTTTTTTCCACGCATCACCATCGCTGTTAATCTGTGACTCCATGCATGCCCATCTCACAGCCGATGTGAAAAACATGGTGAAACAAATGAACGCTGTGCTTCCTGTTATTCCGGGAGGTCTGACAAAGGCACTTCAACCGCTCGATATCGGTGTGAACCGGCCGTTCAGAGTGAGTCTGCGTTCTCGAGTCTGCTGCTTC